AGAATTGAGCCTCCAACTGATAGAAGGAAATGTAAAAATGTTGCGAAGTTTCATACCTGGAAAAAACCAACAGAATATTCTTTGCTTTCCAGAAAAATCACTGAATTTTACAATTTAGGAAGATGGGATTGTTTTTTAGAGAATTCCAGTGTCAAAAAGGATGTTATATGGGTAGTAACCCACAATATGTAATGTTACTCAGACAAACCTGATAGCTGTCATTAATTAAATATATCTCCGAGAACTTCATGTAGGTTTAGCCTTTATAGGGTTTTTTTTATAATATGGAAGTCTGCTAATAAGTAACATTGTTAAAATTATTAATTTAGGATATTTTGATAGGAACATAATTGTGTTCATACGCTTGGCAAATAGAAAACAGAAAAAATTATTTGTGTCATTTCAAGAAATAGAAAGCAAGCTCCTGGAAAGCTTTATGCTGGAATCACTGTGTTTTATAAAAGCTGAAAAATGAAACAAAGTAAACATATGTTGCTTACATTTTTAGTTGACTGTGAATGAGGCAGCATTACAAGTGCATTGAAGGATACCATGGAAATACAAAATAATCTGGAGGGTAATGGACACTTCTAAATGGGATTTAAATTTAGATGAACATTACATAATGCATTCCAGACACATAGCATTATATATAAGCATTGTTGCTGCAGAATGCTAGGTAATGTTGTTTAAGCTCTTCAGCCCTCAATACTCCTCCTTCAAGTCACTGTTCAGACATAAGAAGATAGAAATCTGATTGTAGTTTTGCTGGAAGGGGAGACTGCTTGTAAGAAGCCCCTGACTCTGTGCTTATAATCTCTTGAGTGTAGCTAAGATGATGTGTATGTTTACCTACCCAACCTTACCTACCCAACCAAACCCAGAAAAGAAAGGTATCGGTAATGGTATCAGTTGTCCCACAATCTAGAAAGCTTAGGCTTCTTTCAAAATCAGACCCTGATATGAGTCCAAATAAAATTTCTAACAATACCAAAGTTATTCAGTTAACCATTGGTCTTCCAGCCCTCTCTCACTGATGACAGAGACTGGTAGATACAGAGACTACACGTGCAGTCACCTGGTACCAACACTCTGCATGAGCTATAGCTGTGGGTTCCTTTTCAATGTAACTGCAGTTTGATTCCTGCCACAGGTACAACTTAATTTTGTCCCTGTCTTGATTGCATTTACCACCACTGTGGATTTGTTAGTCAAGTGGTAGACTGTCCCTCTAAATATGAATTGGTTTTGTTTTAAATACTTTGATTTTATATTGGTTTGAAAGCTTTCAAGCACGTTTGAGACATCACATGGAATATTAATGGTAGGATGATACTTTCAAGCAGATACGCATGTAAAAACACATATGGCAGCTCAAAAGTTAGTAATGTGTATTATGTGTTACAGTTGCTGAGAATCAATTTTTACAAAGGACTGCCTGTTCACCTAAAAGAAAAATCATTAGAAGTCCTTTGCTGTGGGTTAGAACCTGAACGCAGCATTGCAAAGCAGGTTACTCGTTATTTTCCCGTACTGTTTTGCAGTATGCCTACTTCCCTGCATAGTTTCTATTTTGCTGCTGAAACTTCAAATTGACCCTTCCTGAAGAATGTGTGGAACAGCATGCAAAGCCTACTACAGTCTTTTTCTTGGCTGGGGGAGAGGAAAGGAGACCTTTTTTTGAGTTTTCTCTTTCAAAAGTTCTCATAAAGATTTCTTGTCGAGGCAAAAGATGTAGAGCTCTCTGGGAAAAGAAGCAATTCTCAAGTAGGTGGTGGTCATTCAAATGTGGGTCATTTTGACTTGGTGTATAGGCTTAAATTTCTGTGAATAATTACCAATAATAAACAAAACTTCATGACTTTACAGTGACAAAATTATTCCAGGAACAAAAGGTAAAGAAGGCTTTCCCAAACTATGTAAAGCATAAATGGAGCAAATGGATTCTATTTCAGTGGGGGTACCCTGCTCTGATAGCTGTCCCTTATAAACGTTGTCATTCAAAACTAACATATTTCTCCTGGTCTCTGATAATAATACTCTGATAGTGTGGGGGTCAATGCAAGGCAGAATAAAACAAGTACAAACAAAATGTAGTGCCAAGCAGCAGTAACTGTAAGCAGGTAATTTGGAAAACATACAGACAAATCAAGTGGGGAAGTCAGCATAAAAAAACTAGGAAATTAAATAGCAACAGAAAAATTATTTGAGTCTGACACTTTAAAGTAAGTGTGCAGTCAGTGAAAGAAATGTCTGAATATACAGTTGCAAATTGAGATAATAAAGTACACATTGCTGAAGTTAGCCAGTAAAGCATTCAAATAATGCAAATAATGAAGAGTTTGCATTCACAGGCAAAGCACAGTGCTTCTGTTCTGTACAGAAGCACCGGCTCTGCTGGTTTCTCCTGTTCTTTTCACATTTGCCGTATGTCGTCGATGATGCTTGCTGAAGAGGCCATCAGGGAAGTGTCTCACCACAGCCACGTGCACACACTCCTGTTTGGCTGGTCAAAGGCCTGCTCAGGAACATAAACACTGTTCTTGTGCCTTACCCTCCTGTGGCTATTTAGTTCCTCTTGCTGCATCGTCTCCCAGCGACACTACAGCACTGAGGCTCTGCTCAAGTGTGTCGCTGAGACATGCCTTGGCAGCGTTCACGTCTGAACAGTCGCTCCTGTTCTGGTCTGCTGGAACTCCTGACTGTGACAAAAGGGGCAGAATAGCAGGAAGTGCAAGTTGAAAAACAAAAAGGTGTGAGATAAGGCAGCCAAGGAAAGCAGTGCTCATTTACCTTCTGTTCCATTGGCTTCTTCCTGCTGTGACTTGCTTCTGCCCAGCTTCATGTGACAAAGTTTCACTTACTACTCATGTCACCATTTAATTCCTTAACTAATTGATACTGTATGTTTGGACAGGGTGTGTGATTTGCTTCTTGGATATGATAATATAGAAAATTCACAGGCATCAATAAATAACTGTACTATCCTGGCAGTATGTTTTCCTGATGCTGGTTGTTTAGTATATTAGCTTTTAAAATGTCTATTGCAGCGGTGGCAATAGCATTAGACTATTTTTATAGGGAATAGTCTGGTTGTTCTATCATCACAAAAGGATGATCAGTGTCTAGTTTGTCTATATGCAGACTACATTATTGTCTCACAAAACAATGTCCCAGTGCTAGGATTGCTTCATTAAGTTTATGCTACATAGACATAATTATGCAGGAGCTAAGAATAGCTCATCTAATTGAAAATAATGATTATAGAGAAAGAACGGGTTTGATTACTGTTACTAAGAGAGCACATACCGTACAACCATTCATGAACTGCACGGAACACATATGGGATTATACGGTGCATTTGTTTTGATTAACAGTTTCTTTCCCCCATCCTGAGTACAAGTTGAAGGTGTTACTGCTTATTTGCTCATTATCTTTTTTCTCAGAGACCTAGAGGGACCTGCAAGAAGGCAGCATGAGCTGATATTTATCCAGTAAATTATGACAAGCTAAGCTTTGAAATAACATTCAACTTTTATCCCCACACACATTTTAGGGAGGATGTAACTTAAATCTTCTCCAGGCACCACAGTTGAAACTGTCTATGTTGGTTTTTTATGTCTGTGTTTATACTAGTACCCTACAGGATTAAACATCCTTTTAGAAATGCAAACTCTGCCATATTGTTAATCTCTTGGTGCTCATTCTGGTTAATGCTAACATTTAATTCTTGCTTCGTCTAAAACACATAGAACTCTTCTTTATTCCTTGAAAATAAAACTGAATTCAAAGTTGTTGAAGGTTTTCATTTATTTGGTTGCTGTTGATTAGTATCACCAGGCACATGGGATAAAAGTTGTGCTGTTGTCCTCTTAACTAATTTTTTTCTTACTTAAGTGTCAGTTTTCTACTAGAATGTTATGAGAAAATTCCTGAGATCATGAAATTTAATGTATCTGGTTTAGAAATGTTATTAATATCTCTAGAGGCTCAAACAACTCTGCTGGTTTGCCATGTTTAGCTTCCCCTCCGTTCTAATGAACCATTTCATAGCTCTAGGCTATGTGCTAATGCTGTAGAGGCACAGAGAGATCACTGCCATCACGAACTTTTGAATTTGAAAAGCGAAGTGGGGAGGGAAGATGGGACAAACAGTGATGCAATCCTGCAGTAACATAACTATCAGTTTGCACAGACTGGAATCAGAGGCACTTGCACAAGCTGTTCTTGAGGCTTTTTAAGAAATAGCAGAAGGAAAAAGTGGAAGCAGAGAGCAGATTACAAAAGTATTCCGAACTGTTGTCTTGACTTTGGAAAAGTTGCTTTTCAGATTGTTTTGGTTTTGAAATTCAGTGAGTTACAAGAATTTAAAACTGTTAAGTCCCTATTTATACAAATGCCTGTTGAAGCATCAAAGACATTTTCCATCCCATTCCCTTCCAACACGGTCTGATTGTGGAAGACATTCCTCAGTTTTTTGGGCCAACATGGCTCAGTTTTGCCCTTCAAAAAATTTTACATGGCACCCAGCATTGAACATTAACTTTGAAATGTTGTAAAGGTAATAGCATTCCACAGTCCCCTTGAGCTGTGTATCCTGGTCTCATAGACCCCTGTTTAGGAGTCAGTGTCGTGGCCCAGTCTGACCTTCTGTACACTTCTGTACACATTCTGGTAACGTCTATTAAAATCATCATCCCAGGTTTTGGTCAGATACTATTTTTTTCCAGTTAGAAATTTTAATTACAAGCTTGGGCTGTAAATTTTGTATCTACAAGTAAATGTGAGACAAGGGTGAGCAGGACTGAAGAACTGAGAGGAATAATGCATTGATTCTGAAATACTTTGACTGATTTGTAGTTACTCACAGCAAGTGGGCATAAGAGTGCACTATACAATATAATGTATGGTAGCTGAGGACAGTAGTCCCTTGCTCTCACATTATTGATGCAACTCATAAAAGACTCCTCTGCATATAAACTGTTTTCTACTCTGTACAGAACTGCACATGCAAGAGCTAAAGCTGACGCTGCGGATCAGGCTGCTCAGGCTGCTCACCAGGAATGTGATATTGCAAGAGCAGTTGCCAGAGAACTTTCACCAAATTTCTACCAACCAGGTAATTATAGATTGGGTTTTTTGTGGCTCTTTTTTTTTTTTTCCAGTGAAAGGGTTCTGTGTTAAGTTAAAAAGTTTATTTCATTTTGAATGTTGTCATTTATACAGAAACAATAGTCATGTGTAGGTAATGAAGAGCGTATGTTGCTCAAGGAGTTTTTGTTTTCATTTTTTAGTCATTTGGTGACTATTGCTTTGTATAAAAATAGTTGAGTATCGAAAAGTCAGTATCAAGCATACAACTTTGCCTCAAATTAACAGCTTCTTCAGGACAGTGTCAAAGACAGACTTCAGAGAATATGAATCAACAGAAATTTGAGTTATTTCTATAGTGTGTTTATTAGGGGAAAGATCCTTATCTTTTTTATTATCCAAGGGAATTCTTGACAGTCTTGATTAGCTAAGGCCTGAGTTCTGGAGAATGCTTTACCATTACACATACATAACCTGTGAGGGAATCTTCCTCTGTTAGGCCTGTGGTGCTCTGTCCCATACTCAAGATATCATAGAATTAAGTCTGTGTCACCTTTATCAACATTGCAACCCATTTTTACATGTCATGTGTTTTGGATAGTTGGTATAAAAAGAAGCAAAGTGGGTTTTGCTTTGTTTTTCTGGTGTCTTTCCATGAGGTTAATATTTTTGTGTACTGCTCTTAAGCTGGAGGTTGAATAGATAAAATGGAACTCCACTTACCAATTTAATGTATTTTCATGAGTCTGTCCTTTCTTTCACCTGTCAAATGAGTTGAGTCATATCTTGTTATTACTTTTCAAAGACTTGCCTGCAGTTGTATGCTAATATAGATTATAGCTCTGAGATTAATTTTCACTTATCTTCACCTTCTGCATATGCTTGTTTCAGACACAAACCCCTTTATCCTTAAATGTACCCATATGGTGGATGCAGGCTAGTATCATGACCCACAAAATCAAAGAACAACAACGTTCTTCAACATTTTCTAACAAACCATCTATTTCCTTCATTTTTTGGTATAAATGACCACTATATGTAACTCGTTACTAAATCATTACTGTCAGTTTGCTTAAAGAATAATTGTTTTCTTCTTTATTCCTAAGTATTTAGTTGTAGAGAGCAATCTGTATATTTTGGGGTTTGGAGAGTTGGAGCCCTCTTTTTTATTTAGTGCATAAGTCGAGGGCTGGTCACCTCATGCAGGTTAGAATCTCCATTCCCCTTATCAGTCTTGCAACCTTTCTTTGTACTCATCCTGATATAAATTCATCTTTCTTGAACGTGGCTGTCCAGAACTGTAGGTAAAGCTCAACAGAACTATTTCCAGTAATAAGACTTTACTAGCTTTAAAATTATATCAATAGGTACCTTTCACTGTTGGAAATGACCTCAATACAGTCTCTCCTGTGGACTTATATTAGTGGCCCATACTTACTCCTATGATACCCAAGTCTTTTTCTTTTTTCATTATTTCATTCTTCAGTCAACTGATGAGCTCCCAATTTATAGCAGCAGTTCATCTTATCAGTCATAAGTTAAGTCATAAGCTTAGCCATGCAAGGAACTAATAATAGAGACCCTGTCAAAGGAAAGCTTGATAGAGAATATAACTAAGAGGGAATTAAAGCATTTGGAATGAAAGTATTTCAAAACTGCCAAGCCCTTGAAATAAAGAAATGGTTAGAATACTCGAGAGAAAATGCAAACATCTGATGGTGTGAAATTTGACACCAAGAAATTCCCCAGATCAAGAATTTGTTAGGTGTCTTTTTTTACTTCCTGCCACAGGATATGAAGTAGCATTGCTGAGAAGTTGGCTGAGATTTGGGGAGAGAAGGTGCAGGATTCTTATTTTCCTCTCATTTAAAACTTTTACTCCAATTACAGAAGGGAAGAGTTTGTATTCTTTCCCCAAATGCAGCTGTATATGTGTACAGTGCTGTAACAAAACATTTCTCGAAGTCTACTTACTCTTTTCTTTGTGTGGAAATGTCTATCAGTTAGCTAGCTACCTATCAGAAGATAAAAGCCTCTTTGGAGTCTGAATTTTAAATTTCCTCATTATTTTCAAGATGACCAAATACAGCGTATTTGTATACATTTGAAAAAAAATTGCTATTCCCATTGCTTAAGTAACTTTAAGATGCCAAGATGCTAATTAAATTTCAATTATCCCAAATAAGCTGCAACAAAACACTAGATTCATACATTGTTGCAATCCTTTCAAATAGTATCATGTCAGAGATACTTTCCATTCTCAATGTTCACAATGCCTTTTTCACATACATTCTTTCTGAGTGGTACCAGTTAACCCTGAGACTCACCTGTACACATACTTACTTATTTAAGTATTTCCCAAGTGTCATGCTATGAATTACTGGATATGTTATCATTAGCTTTTGTCATTTATGGTTATAAAATTGTAAATAAATATTTTTAAGTATTTACTTTCACTCACACAAACAGCGGTAAATATCTGCTTTTCAAATAGCATTTTTTGTATGTTTGAATGAAAACAAGGTAACCGTTATTGCTTCCTAATAGCAACTTCTTGCTTTTCTTCTGTTGCTTGAGCTCTTTATTTTTGATACCTTATAACTTACCTTTATAAGTTTCTGTAAGTGCTACTAAAAGGTAATGGTAAGTATTGAATCTCAGTCTCTGAAACTGTAGTTAAGAGAAAGTTTTCCATTGTGCTAAATTGTCTTGAAAATAAGTTATTGTGGGAAAGTGTAATTTTTCTCTCATTGCTTGAACTGCTTAGTACGGTAGGCAAGCATGCTGTCAGCAACAAATAAATGTATGTAGTATATCGACAAGTCTCTTGAAAGAAAGAGAGGAAAAAAGTGAAATACAAATACCCCTCTGTAAACAACAGCTAAGCATTTATTTCTGTCTTAATGAGTGATCTCTGCATTACCTGCGGCCTAAGCCCATTTAAATATTTGAAAACCTTTTGATAAAGCTCTTAAATTTCAGATTCTTAAAAAGCAACTTTCTGGGCCATATAGCCTAGTATTACACACAATTTATAATTACAGTGAATATTCATCACTCATTGTACCATGACAGTTCTTACTTCCCAATTACTTTCTCTCACGTTTCAATTTTGTATTCAGAAGCTGCCAAGAGGTTCTAGCTTTGCAATGTAGTTTAAAAGGAGATTGAAAGGAGAACAAAGCAGTAGGAAGCAAAGTAGCATTCAGCGGGTGAGAATAATAATGTCAGTCTGAATCATGAATATTGAGGTACCATAGAAATCTTGAGATTTAGCTTTCCCAGTAAGTGATTACCTTAATACTTGCATATAAGGAAAGCAAGTATGATTGAAAAGGTCAGTGCCATGGTTTAAGGTCTTATAAGATAAAAAGGAACTGTTTTCCCTAAGCTTGTTCACGCTAGTCTCAGGCAAGATCCTGCTTATACTTTTGCTGTAGCAGAGATTGGGCTAGTGATTAATAGCTATGAGGATGGTATATCTTTGCAGAGCCCTACCCACAATGCTATACATTTTGTAGATTTAACAAATGTTGCAGTCTTTATACAGGCCATACTTTACAGGCCTTTTTATCACCAAATAAAATGAATTTTGAGAAATCCCAGTTCTGACCTGTTTGTTTCCTCCAGGCATCACTAAACTTGTAGATGTGTCAGAAGAGAGCATACCAGGACAGATGAAACCTGAGTCATATCCTCATTCAAGGGAGTCGTCCAGGGACAGTTTGAGATTGTCTTTGCTTAGAGAAAAACAATAAACGCTGTTTTGTGTCTCTTGTTAAAACCTAGAGAAGGACAAATGACTAATGGGAGTGCTGTATCAAAGGTGTAACAGAAAAGAAATGCTTTTGACGCCCAGTAAAAAAGGAGAATATTGTTCTATGCTTGCACAAGGTTAATGGATGCTTTGACTTACCCATTCATTCTAAATTCTACAAGCCATCTCTAGGATATAGTCTTGTAAACTATCAGGAGGTAAGCTAAAGTATGAACTTGCGCAGACTGGACAGCTAAGCCATAATTGTCTGTGTGCATATATGTCCTGCAGCAAATGGATACTGCTCTTTCATTCAGTTTGAATGAATAACATTTGATTAAATGAAAGAGGGGTAAAACTACTTTGCTGCAGGGTAAGAGCAGTCTGGGCACTTCACCATGGAGCAATAAAGGTCTGGAAATTCAGATCTGAATTGTTTTATGGCAGATTATTTGTCAGGCCAACCAGCTGCCAGGCGAACGTACATGGCTCGCCAGAACAATTCATCCAGCCTTTGACCTCCTAAACAAGGCAAGAGAGAAATCAAGGAGCAGTTTATGAATTAACGCTCTCTAAAGAGATGGACAGAATTTCTTTAGGTGAAATATATGAGCAGAGAACAAAGATTTTCTAATGAAAAGAATAAGAATTGTCATTTTTTCCTGTAATGTTCGGTTACTGTTACAGCATCAGTATTAACATGCTGAACATCACTTGTTTCAGAAATAAGCATTTTAAGCTTATGATAAGGCAATTTCTAATGGTCTCTAATGCCTTAAAGAGCAACTGTGTTTGCCATTCTCTTTTGACCAGTGGTGGATGTCTATAGCCTCAGAAGAAAACACATCCTTCCCATCTTCCTCCTTTCTGCCATCTCCACCTCCTCCAGTTCACAAAATGCAAACTCCATATGGACAGGAAAGAGAGATTTCTGCCTGATGCTAATTAACTTGAATGTACTGGCTAAGTGCATGTGGACCAGGCCAGATATTTTTATTTTAAAAGCCAATTACAATGAGCATTTTGCCCAATTAGAGTTACCAACCATGCCATCAGTTTGTGCCTTAAAGTATACAGAAGCTCACTAGTTATTCTTAGTCATACAAGAGCCTGTTCATTTTCTGAAATTATTCAACATACGGCTTCATCATCCTCACACAACTGTTGTCAGGATTCTTGCTATGGCATCTTTTCTCTGCAATTTATTGCTTCCGTTCTCTTTCTACACAACTCTGGAGAAGCCAGAGCCTATATAAATATCCTAAGGCACT